TAAAAAAAAAAAACTATACAACACCATCTCATTAATCCATATCCACTGGTTTCAAAACTCGTGTTTGTAGTCAATCATAAAACACCGACAAACTTTAGATGTTTTAGAGTTTGAATCATAAACCTCGTTTATGAATTTCATCGTCTCAACTATAAATACTATATTTGAAAAAAAAAAATCCAGCATGATGGCTATAATCGATGTAGTGTTCTAGAAGACTAGAACACATGTTCTTTTATCCAGTATTGTATAATCAATTGACTATAAATAAAATCTCAATCACATAGAAAAAAAATATATACAAATAAAAAGTTGGAACAATCATGAGTGTGGGTGTCGACAATAGTAGTTTAATACAAGCATCCCCTCGAAAGTAAGCCAATTCTATGTTAGTGGGACGTGGGACCAAATTTCACATAATACAAACAAAATACAGGGCTTATCTTTGCAAAGATCAAATAAATCATCATTAGTGTTAAGATTTATTTATTATAATAATTGGCGTACATAAAAAGATCCTTAAAGTACAAAATGGGTAATTCGTTTCTTTTACTTTACAAAATACAATGTATTTGGTACATATTTGGTTTTAAACACTTAGAAAATGTTTAACGTGTAAATTTCTAAATATAGATAAAGCCGTTGATGTTCAAGGTCATGTATTTATTTATTTAGGTGTAAGATCCGTGTATTTAAAATAAAAAATTTAATATGAATATATAAACATTAAATATTTTATAAAATAATGTTTTTCCATAACAAATATAATCTTTTGAAGCACTTATGAAAGAAATCAAATCGTTTGGAACATTTATGAGAATTTATTATCAAATTAATAGAATGACAACCTTACATATATAAACTTAGAATTTTTTGGAAATATATTTTAAGAAAACTTAAATCCCCAAAATATAACAAGTGGAAAATAACAATTTTAAAAATCTTAGACCATAAGGTGTAGACAATTAGATGTAACACCATTTTGGTGCCACATCACATGTCACATCATCAATGGTGTTATAACATCAAGTGAGGAAATTGTCTTATTATGACACAAACTTTTTTTCCATTTTATAATTTATTTTTTATTTATTTCGATTTTTTTTTTAAATTGAGACAAATATTTTTTAAATATAAAAAATAAATAAAACACAATGTTTAAAAATTATAAAAAACAATTAAAAATTTTGAAGATTAAAATTAACATAAAGACTAAATTACACATAATATCCAAAAACAAAAAAAGAAATAACATCCAAATTCTAAAAAAAAAATAAAAAAAAAAATACAGTGCTATTCGTTATCGTTATTGTTACTATAGAAGATATAATCTGTCAAGTCCTCTCGAAGTTATTTGTGTTTATTTGCGTCCTGAATGTCAACAACGCGATAAAAATAATCTGTTGTTCCTTGTTGAAATTGAACGTGTCTGGGCTCCGTTGAGATATAGTGTGCAATATTTCTCCCTTTATCTTTTACTACCATGTTATGCATTATGATACATGCATACATGATATATCGTAGAGTTTCTAAATCCAGTGGTCGTGTTGCATGTTCGACTATATGCCACTTCACCTTCAGCACTCCAAAAACACGTTCCACATCCTTACGTGCTCCTTCTTGTCTTCTCTTAAAAAAGTTGTCTCGTTCTTCAACCGGGTGGCGGAATGCCTTCACGAATGTGGAATATTGAGGATATATTCCATCTGTAAGGTAATACCCATATTTGTATTCGTTTCCATTCACCGTGAAATAGCATCCGTGGCTTTTCCATTCAAAAGATCGTCGAATATTGGCGACTGATTAAGAACGTTGACATCGTTGTTGGAACCCGCAACCCTAAAAAATGCATGCCAAATCCATAAATCTTGAGAAGCGACGACCTCTAACACCAACGAAGGTGATCCGTGATGACCACTTGCGTATTGCCCTTTCCATGCTACCGGATAATTTTTCCATTTCCAGTGTGTGCAATCAATGTTTCCTATCATTCCGGGAAACCTATGGTGTTCTTCATGCACCGCATACAATTCTTGCAAATCATGCAACGAAGGTTTCCACAAATACACGTCTCCAAAAGTTTCAATAACACCCCTTGATAATGTATACAAACTCTCTCTTGCGGTTCTTTCGAACATTCTCATATAGTCATCCATGGTGTCGGGTGACTCCCCCATAGCCATCAAACGAATGGCCACAACACATTTCTGCAACGTTGTAAACCCTCCTCTACCTCTAGCATCATATCTTAATTGAAAAAATTCGTACCTAAACATAAATTAACTACAGTTTGAAAATATATTGCATATGTTGTAAAATTAAATAAAACATGTAGTACATTTTTATTTATTTTGTATAAAAGTATAGTAAAGAAGCGATACCGGCTTTCCAAGGCGTTGGCGATTCGTAAGAACACATCCCTACTCAAACGAAATCTTCTTTTGAAGTCCTTCGCCCCGTATACACAATTATCCGCAAAGTAATCGCGATATAGATGTTCGTGTCCTTCCTCGCGATTTTTGTTTAACATCACACGTCTTGTTAGTAGCGGGGTTGAGTCTGGTTGTAGCAGATCGGTAGTGTAATAATGATAAATCATCATAAAGAAAATATCATCATCTAAATCATTGGACGAGTCGAAAGGATCCATATTTTTTTGAAGATAATTGATAATATGTAGAGAGGAGAAGAGAAAGTGTGTGAAATTTTTTATAAAATGGTGATATTTATAAGGTAAATGTTTTTTTTTAATAGTTAATTTTTTTAACCGTTGCGTTTTAAACGTTAATAAACGTTTAAAATTTACTCGTCGCATCCAATCGTCTTGGCCACGAGAATCACCCTCGACGAGCAAAAACGAATAAGGGGGGCGGTGTTCCCCGCGTCATAACGGCGTTGAGGGGTGCCACCTCACCTGCGTTTCTTCTCGTTGGACCCGTACCGAATACTCTTAGAAAATGACATTTGTCAAAATGAAGGAAAAAATGACAAGTAACAAAATGACTTTCATTTATTAGATAGGATAGCTAGGATTTGTCTAAAATCTACTATTTGAAAATAACACTTAAAATACCATCAATTGATAAAATTTTGCTCTAAATAGACATAATAATAATAATAATAATAATAATAATAATAATAATAATAATAAGTCATCTTTTTTTAGGCTTTCTTTTTAATTTAGCCAAAATTTAAAATTTAAGAAATTTTCCTAGCAAACAATCATTTTGCACGAGGTACTACAAAACAAGTTTTTACATAAGAAACGTTGTGTCAGCTATAGAAGCGTTGAAAGAAAATTAGATTACCAAACAACATTAGCTAGTAAGATGTCATTTCTCGGTGAGTTAATTGCCCTATTCTTACCTAGTCAGATTTCATTTTCCGAGTAGACAAACAAAATTAGTTTACCAAACAACATTAGCTGATCAGACAGTAAAACACGTCTAACCTAACTCGGTCAGATGCATATCAAATATGGATTAAGATTCTGATTTAACCAAAAATATATTTTATTGTGAAAATGTTATCACAAAAAACTTTCAAAAAAATTATTTTCTTGAGAAAAAATATATTTAATATTTGTAGAAATATAATAATTCCGCAGTATGTAAACTGAGTTTTGCAATTTTTTTTTACGGTGAACATTAATATTACACAATACATTTTCTTTTTTATTCAACATCATTTTAGACATTTCACAATGCCCAGTCCCATACTCCAATATTTAAGAAATTTTCTTAAATTTAGATTAATTTATGGAAGAAACTTAATAATTCAAGCTATTATCTTATTTAAGACAATGTCACAATCATTTGTGTTGAACCACGTCAAAAAGTGCCATCATTCTCCAACGGCTCAATTCGTCAGTGGGCCATGCCAAACGTGAGTTTCCATTGTCAAATCGAATACAATTATCACCGTTATTTGCTAATAGCGTCTTAATCAATACACCAATAAAAATCAAAATAAAAAAGAAGCTCCACTCGTTTTATTTATTCCTTTTGTTCGTCATAAGATGTATAGAAAAAAGAATTTATTCTTCAATTCACATCTAATATATATATATATATATATATATATATATATATATATATATATATATATATATATATATATATATATATATATATATATATATACCTTGGAGATTAAAATAAAATTAGAGATGTTGAGATTTTCCAATAATCATATGATTATGCGATCTTAATTGAACAAATATATGCGGTGGCATACTTGTAATTATTGTTGAATTTTCAAAGTTAACAATGTTGGTCAGTTGGTTACGGTTATTATCGTTATTTTGCACGTATATCAAATCGTCTACGTAGAGATTATGATCAAAACATGATGATACTGTAACCTCCTACATTCTTTCTCGTTCAAAATTTCACTCACAAAAACCTTTTTTTTTTCTTTCTTTATCGCATTAAATCCTAGATTTACATTGTTATTTGTCTAAATTAATTCTAAAAATCAGTAATGTTTTCAGAAGAACATCTTAACGAAATCACATTTTCGTTAATCCAAATAAAATGTTAGAATACGATTATTTTTTCATTTTATTGATAATGCATTTTTTTTAAATAGTTAACTGTAGTTTTTTTGTTCATAATGACGATTTTTGTTTTGATTTAGTAGTTTTTTTGTCATTTTTACTTGATTTTGATGATTTTTCCGTTTATAGTTCATTTGTTTATATTGTGTTTGTTTGTAGTGAGTTTTGTTATAAATTGTTCTTTATGTTCACATATAAGGATTCAAAACAAAATATGTTGGAAAAAAAAAAACAAAAAACAAAAAAAAATCTCGAAGGCATAAGAAGTAGGGTTGTAAGGAAGGATACAATTGAAAAAATTGATGTTCAAAGAGGTTTCTGTTATGTTTTTTGTTTATATTCTTCTATTCTTATTCTTTCTATTCATAACTGATGATGTTCATTTTTATCTATAATCAAACAGATTTCTTCATTTTCTAGTTTCTATGTAACCAACCCGAATATGAAGATGTTTCTCGCGAAGGTAAAGAGAAAAAGTCAAAGAAAAGAAATGATAAAGGTATGCGCTTTAATAATAATTGATTTTTGTGGGTTTTTTAAATGGAATGATACTTGTAGTTATAATTATATGTTTGTTCCTAATTCTAATCATAAATGATTATATATATTTGTTTATGTAGGAAACCAATCTGAATTTGAAGATGATTATCCACAATCTAAAGAGAAAAGGTCAAAGAAGACTAATGATAAAGGTATGTTTTTATAATCATTAGTGATTGTGTGAGTTAAAATCATACTTTATAATCATATGCATTTGTGTTCAGTATTAACAACTAATTATGTTAATTTTTGTTTCTAGCAAATGCTTCTCTTTATGAAAAGGAAAGTCCATAAGTTTTAGAGAAAAGGTCCAAGATTAAAAATGACAAGGATATGTTTTTGCAATCATAATTGATTATGTTTCTTCATGTGTAATTGACTATATGTATTTGTTTTCTTTTTACTAACACTATGTGTGTAAAAATATTTGTAGTTAAAAAAGATAATATTACAAAGAAGGTATGAATAAAAAGCTCGAAGCAGACAATATCATCTTTGAAAAAAAGAAAAGGATAAGGAAGCAGCTGAAACCCGATAAAAAAAATATAAAAAAGCATATATTGAACAACCAAAAGAGAAACTGATAATTAGTTTTGGAGAATGTCAAAATCATAAGTAAGAAACATGAACTATCTGATGAAGATGATTCTGATTTTAAGAGTTGTTATATATCTTCAAAGTAACCAAAGAGAGAAGATAAAGTCGTGAAGAAAGAGAAAAAAGTTGATGTGATAAAAGAATTCCTTATATGAAGAACCAATGTTCACCCGGTTCATTGTTGGTTGTTATTCAGGGTTTAAGTAGAGAACAGAAGGAGTGTGTTAGGGCTATGGGATTTGGGAGTTTGTTACAGATTATGATGATTGATGTACCGTTGAAGATTGTTTATTATATTGTTGATCATTTTAATTTTGAAAGTTTGAAGGTGGATTTTGAGAATTGTCAAGTGATTGTTATTAGCAAACATGTTCATGATATGTTAGGATTAGCATCCGATGGTACATTACTTTCAAAATTGGATTACATTTACGAACATGGTGAAGAGAGTTGTATTTTTTAGCAGAAGAAACAGTATGGAAATATTGATAAATTGAGATTGAAACAACTAAAGAATAAACTTGTGCAGACTGCTGCAACAGATTATAACTTTAGAATCAATTTTTTGTTTCTATTTATTAATACATTATGTGGGTCTACAAGCATGGAAAAATGTAATCTGAACACATTGTATGTAATCAGAAGAGATATCAAATTTAAGTAGCATTGACTGGTTCAACTTTATTACGGATTGTTTGATAAATAAGAAGAAGTTCTACAACTTAGATTAAGAGTCATCCTTCTTTTATGGACCAACAACATATCTTATGGTATATGAACTAGTTTTTAATATTAAATCTTTTTTAGGTGCAATATATATGTTTTTTATTCTTAATGATATATTAGACTATATAATCATATATGATTATACAGCCTAATATATGATTAATGATATATCACATTGTATTTACATATGAATAATCATATACGATTATGCATTATACCATATAATTAATCATATATGATTATACATCTGTTTATGATTAATGTTATATTAGACTTTATAAGTATATCTTTTTATAAAGTTAATGTGTGTGTGTGTCTATATATATATATATATATATATATATATATATATATATATATATATATATATAGAGTCAAGATCAAATAAGAAGAAAATTTTTGGTAGGAAGGTAAGAAGTTTTTTTTCTAAATATTTTTTTTGCGAACAAACAAAATGAATCATTAGATGATTCATTTGTAAGATGATTCACAAGAAAAAATTCTCAAAAAAACATCTCGATGATTCATTTATACAATGATTTTGTTGTTATTCACTAAAATTATCATAAAAATGAATTTTTTCTTAATTTATTTAAAAATGAATCATAAAGATGTTTTTTTGAGAATTTTTTCTTGCGAATCATCTTACAAATGAATCATCTAGTGATTCATTTATTTTGTTCGTCAAAAAAATATGTTGAAAAAAAACTTCTTACCTTCCTACCAAAAAAAATTTCTTACCGGATCTATATCCTATATATATATATATATATATATATATATATATATATATATATATATATATATATATATATATATATATATGTTTTTTGTAGTTGTTGTATGTGGATACTTTCAAGTTTAATCATTTGCAAGTTACACTTAAACGTCTAATATTTTTTTATTGGATATCAGAAAAGATCAGGTTTCTTGATGATATTTTACAAGAAGAGGGAGGATTTGGTTGTGGAGAGATTAATGAACCATATGTTGAAGAAGAATGTCAAGAATCTGATGGCGATGATGAGGAATGTGATGGTGATGAGGATTTATTTGATGAAGATGAAGAAGAATTTGATGTTAATAAAGTTAGTGATGTGGATGTAATTTTATAATTTTATTCATTTATGATTTCATTAATGTATTCATTTATGATTTCATTAATGTATTCATTTATGATTTTTTATGATTAAGTATTCACTTTTAAGTATCTTTTTCTTATGTAGGAGTATGAAACTAAAATTTCAGATATGTATCAGATAATTTAGATTAGAGAAATAAGCTTGTTGTAAAAATAAATGATGGAGTGTTAAAGTTTCCTGGAAGTCAAATTTTGAAACACTGGAAATTATTACTGTCAGACGAAGATTTAAGTGCAAAAAGTCAAAATTCAATTTCGGTCATAATACATTAGATTGTGAACGACCAATGTTGACACCTGCTTTTGGTCAATATAATAATGAAGAGGAAGGCGCATAAGTAAATGGTTATGAAGATGATGGTGAAGATTATGGGAATCATTTTCTGAATAATGATGAAAATTATGATGATGATGATGATCTTTTGATGATGATGATGATCAAGGGAAAGGTGCTGGTATTGAAGCGGATGCCAATGATACTGCACTTCAGGACCAGAATGATAAAAATGATGCTCAAGGTAAAGTTGATGGTCCTGAATGTGATGTTAATGATCATGAACATGGGGAACATATTAGTAAAATTAATGATTTGTTGAATGAGAATGATGATGATAAAAATGATGATGTGGTTGGTAAGGAAATTTTGGTAATGAAGATGATGAATAAGGAAATACAAATGGATTCAATGAAGAAGAAGTCATGAATTTGAGTTTGATTGTTGAAAATGTTATTAAGAGTGTTGGTCTGGTTGACGGTGTTGAAGCTGATGCTAATGATATTCAGGAAGGTATAAATTTTAGTCAATTAATGCGTGACCCAATTATTGAAAATTTTCTTAATGATTTGGGTCGAGGTGAACATGCGTTTTTGTTATATATATATATATATATATATATATATATATATATATATATATATATATATATATATATATATATATATATATATATATATATATATATATGATTTTAAATTTGTGTTTTTGAATATTATAGGTAATGAGAATTTAGTTAAGTGTGGTATAAATCAGAAGGGCAGTTAAAGATGATATGAATGACATTTTGACTAGTAAGTATTTATATATGTATTGTTTATACATAAAATATATATGAATGTGTTATATAGATGATTCACTTATGATTTTAATAAGTTAGGAACTGCAAATTTAGGTGAGGTTGATAAAAACAAAAATGGAATTTCAGATGATATTGTTGATAAAGTTATTGGAGAAAATAAGAAAGAAGATGAATTAATTGCTCCAAGTTTGATTAAAGTTTGTGTTGAAGGTGAAGTTGAAAATTAAAAAGCAAAGAAGGAAGGAGAAGGTGTGGTTGAAAGTGAAGTTGATATGAATTTTGGAAAAAGGGTAGAAGATGATTCAAATAAAAATAAAGACGGAGGTAACTAGTTTATAAATAAGTTTCATTCATATGCGATTGTGTTTAACAATATTTGTTTATGGTTGATAGTTTTTGTTTTACATTCATTTATGATTTTAAATTGTAGGTGTAGAAACTATTTTTGGTATTCCTATTCTTAGTCTCAATTATTTAGAGTATTGGTGTGATCCAGATGTATGTTAATGCTATTCAAAGGTAGTGGGAGATCAAAACAAGAATGAAAATAAAATAGTAAAGGATTCAAGTCTTAAAGATGGAAAAAGAAAGTAACAAAGTGGAGAATAAGGTAGTTGTAGAGGAAACTACTAAACAAGGTGATGAAAGAAATAAATATAATGATAATATGAAAGGATTTCAATGAAAAAGGACAAAGCAAAAGTGAAGTTGAGAAGTTTATTGGTCCAAGCTTTATCCTTGGATTAGTCAAGATTCACAAGGTTCTAAGAATCCATCTCAAAGTCAAATTTCTCATGAACCAATGACAAAGAAAAAGCTTAGGGATAGAATTTGTTTGGCAAAAGCAAGTCTAGGGCCATATTCTTCTATTCCAAAATGTGATGTTATTAACGCTAATTCAATTCCTTTTGCACCCCTTTTAGCTACATTAGAAGGACCATCAAAAGCAAATTTTGACATACGGAGAGTGATAAATGAAGAAGGTCCATCAAAAGCAAAGTATGAAGAACCAAAAGATATAAGTGAAGGACCATTAGAAGTGTGTTAAGACATAAAGTGACCCTCAGTAACTGAAGTGTGTGAACAATATCGCAGAGTTGCTGATTCAAAGGAACTGGAGAGCAGATAAGGCTTACCGAAGAACCTTATATGTTGTTAGCTATACCGGAGAGGAAAGTATACCTAAGTTTAGAGATGCTATTCTGTTTTTTCAGTGATAAAACTATGATCAAATTTATCTTGACATTTCTTGGTAGACTATACAAATTAGTCATGGGTAATAAGACCACCCAAGCTACTCTTATTTTATAATTTAATGTGTACTGTTTTGTCATATAAATATATGATCTTGTTGATCAATCTATTAAGGCTCTCCACTTCTGATATCTTTTCTGTATAATCGTTATATTAATACAAAGTCTTTTTATCAAGATTATCTTTCATATTTAGTTGTTCATCACTTTCTAACCTGGTCTTGAGTGCAAGCCTTGTTACGATTCAACTAAAGTATTATTCACTTGCTTATAATATAAGTAAACTTGTTTCTATATCTCTTCCTTATTATTCCGCAATCTAGTTATTGTTGATCTTCACTAAAAGATCAATTAATTCCGCAATTATCTCAATATCATTCAAAGATTAAACCCTTTTTACTCAACAATTGGTATCAGAGCCATAGCGGTTGCTTTTTAATCTTTCTTTAAAAACAAAACTCGTTTTCAAAAGAAGAACGCTGATTTAAAAGCCTTCTATACCACTTATCTCATTATTTTTAAGGAAATATGGCACAAACTTACTTTTTAATATATCCAATAGTGTTGGAGGTTTTACTAGAGCTTCAATACTCTTTGCAAGTGAATATCATCACTAGTCTTAATGTATGGAAAGATATTTAAAAAAAGACTAGATAAATAAGTCTGAAGATCCATTGAAAAATAACCACATGTACTTGTCCTTACTCCCATTGTCATCGATGACGCTCAAGTCAGACTTGGAGGTGGTCAAGTAGCCATGACCAGACCTACCAACGATGACATAAACTAGATGGAGAAAGATGAAATTGCTTTTTATGAAATCTCTTATGGAGTTCCATCTGACAGTTTTGATCTTATTATCAACTGTAAATCAGCAAATAAAAATATGGGATGTTCTTAAAAATCTTTATGAAGGTACAGAGCAAGCTCAAGACAAAAAGTTGACAATTGCTCTAAGCGAGTTCAACAACATTAAAGTTTTTCCTGGTGAAAGTCTCGATGACTTCTTCAAACGATTCAACCTCATCGTCACCAAACCCTCGAATAAAGGAATCACTCGTAGTGATCAAGAAACAAACATGCAGTTTCTAAATGGTTTGCAAAAAATGGACAATGGAAAAAATGATAGTTCAAGGTGATACGAAAATTAAAACTCTTTCATTGTATAAACTATATGGTAAACAACAATCTTAGGAGTCTACAGTGATGAGAGATTACATGGATCTAGGCGGACCACTCGCCTTAGTCACCCATTCACCGCAAACTACCAACCCATATCGTTAGTATCATCTTACTGCAGAAGCATCATATCAAACTTCATAAGACAACACATTGCAGTCATATGAACCAGAAATGCAACATGAAGATGAAGAAGCTTTTCAACATGCATAAGCCCTTGTTAGCCAACAGTTCAACAAACTCCCTCCTCTTAACTACCGTAAAAGCCAACAATTTACAAGACCTCCATTTAACCACAACTACCATCCTCAAAACAACTGCCCTCAACACTATCCTTAGTCTTCTAGATATCCTAGAAATACATCGTATCAGCCCCAATTTTAAAACACACTACTAATGATCTCACAGTCCTCTGAAGCATCAAAAGAAGAAAAATATTCAGATACCGCAGAAGATACAGAAGAGAAAAAGGAAGGAGTTCTCATATGCCACAAATGTCACAAAGAAAATCATTTTGCTAGAGAATGCAAAGCCAATGTTTCAAAATACAAAGCATTATACCTTAGAATGGCTCAAGAAGCTGAAGATAAGGAGAAGACTGAGAAAGCAATTATGGCATAAGTGAGAAGAGACCATAAAGTTGGTCATCTTGAGATGCAGATGAAAACAATGACAACAAGAGGAAAAGAGGCAAGTTATGTCTAGTTGCAAAGGAGAACACTAAAGAGATGAAGAAAAACTATCGCTTCATGGCAAAGGAAGTAACCATCAACATCATTGAATAGGTAAAACTTATTATTCATTCAAATAATTACAAAATGCATGATTGTGAACCATATCTTGTACAAATTACTCAAACGTGTTCTAACATCCGTTCATACTACAACAAGGCCTTAGATGAAAAGAACATAGTGACCCAAGAGCTGTACCGCTTGAGAGGAAGACTAGAAGACAAAAAGCTTAAGGTCATCATTTTAGAAGCAGATTTAAAATTAGAAAATGATGCTAGATTACTTAGTGAAACTCAGTTAGATGTTGCTTTTAATCAACGGGAACTAGCCCGAAATGAAATTATATGCTTAAACAAATTAATAGAAAAGATCTTTAATGAAAGTAAAACAATTGACAATTTAGTCAATAATGGGTCTGTAGACAAAACTTATAACTAGGGATGGTCAAATGGTTACCACACCGGAGAGAAATCTCCACCTCGGTTTGAGGTCGAATATCCCTATGTCCCACCTGACAGAACATTTCACTTCCCAATCAATGACAAGACCTATCTCGAAGACATTCAATGTCATTTTGGAAAACTTTGTGTCCTTAACAACAACTGTGTAGTTGAAGAAATTGTCCCAGAATCCTCGAGACTCTCTAAAATATACAATCCATATCAGTCATTAGATTGATATATCATGGCTCAGGATCTGACTTGGACGAAGAAATCATTATGAATAAACCTAAAGAGTCCCCAAAGCCAAATATCCCAGGAAAAGTAAGTACTACATAAACTGTGATATCTCACTCAACGCAAGTCTTCCCGCAAACTACTCTTAAATCCATCATTAAGATACAAACTCTTCTCCAAGGAATAAGAACAGGCAAATTTGAGATCGTGCAATGCTCAAAATGTCAAGAACTCTACACATCCAATGATTCCTCTCCTAGACCCATAACAAAGTCCAAACTCTTTATAAGCCAAAGACCTAAACTAAACAAATATTTTCAAAATAACTCTGCGCAACAACTTCTAACAAAACCAAATCCAATTCTACACAGAAGTTAAACAAGGAACAAAAGATCACAAGTCCAAAAAAAATCCTCAAAGTCACAAAAGGACTGAAAATCCCAAGATTGTCCCGAACAAAAAGCCTGACCAAAAACTCAAGATAATAATGGTTGATAACATTCCTATTATCAATCAAAAGGACAGAGAAAAGACCGAAATAAAATTGAATATGGCCAAACATATGGTTTATGTTCCTAAATAAAAACCCAGGCAAACAATTTGGATAAATGAAAAGAAATTAACAATTATTGTTTATCCACCTGTTAAGAAGTCTGTCATGAAGCCCAAAAAAGAAGAACCTCGCTTCAAAAAGGATATGGATTAAGAAGAAAACAAAAAAGAACACATCAAAAAAGTCACAACTAAACCACACACTGCATCCATTCAATCTTATTATAATGTTGTAGGCCCCAAACAAATTTGGATGCCCAAATTAACTAACTATTAATGCAGGCAATGTGCGAGGAGAATCACGAAATTGAATGGTTAATAGATAGCGCCTGCTCCTTGTACATGACAGGAAGTTTGGAATATCTTCATGACTATAAGGCAGTCATAAATGGTGGTCATGTAACTTTTGGAAATGAAGCAAATGGAACCATTTGAGGATATGGTATCCTAACAAATGGAAACTTCTCAATTTAAAAAGTTGCCTATGTCGAAGGGTTAAAACATGATCTCATAAGTGTTGGGAAACTCCGCAAAGCTGCTCATCGTGTCGAATTTGATGATGAATACAGCTACA